CTCGGACGCCTCCCCGGGGCTGTGGCCCCCGAACTCGGGCCCCGCTGGGTGCAGCTGATAGGAGAAATCCGGCTCCGAGAGCGACCCCAGCGGCGGGAAGGCGGGCTCGGCGCCCAGGCGGGCCTTGGACTGCAGGAAGGCGAGGATGCGCGCGTACTTGGTGTCCTTGGTCTCCATGCGCTCCACGGTGGTGAGGTAATGCACCAGGTTCTTCATGCACTCGTGGTAGCCGTAGTGGAAGTAGTTGGCAAACTCTGCTAACAGTTCTGCTGGAGGGCGGGAAAGTCATAGACAGGAAAGAAACTGAGCGGCCCCTTCCCTGCCGGGAGCCCCTGGCGGGTGCAGGCACCTCCCACCACACTTTCTGGCCAGAGTTCCCACTGGAGGTCCGCCTCCCCTCTCCCCAGTCTGGAGAAAGGAAAAGAACAAGCCAGAGGCCTGCTTTCTCCGCCCCTCCCCACCTGAGAGGAGGCAACGGAACCAACCAGCCCAGAACCCTCCCAGCCCGTCCGCTAGCCTTTGCAGGACCCCACCGCGCCCGCTCTGCCCGGTCGGGAGAGGAGGCCTCTCCTGCGCGCCTTCCTCCTACCGCCACCCCCAGGTCTGTGTGGCGCACGCTCCCGGCCGGGTTTCGCCTGGCCCAGCCCGTGCGCACCTTTTTCCCTTCCCCGGGGAAAGTCAGCCGAGTGCAGCGCCCGCAGGTACTGGACGGTCATCTCGAGGATCTCCGCCTTCTCCAGCTTCCCGGAGGTCTGCAGGGGAGAAGGGGCCTCAGCGCGCGCAGGCGCAGGCCAGCCCAGGGGCCAGTGCGCGGTGCGATCTGCCGAGGACTAGCGAGCGGCTGCTGTGCACCGCACGGTGCCTGGACTTGGCGCCCAGGCGGGGAAGGAGGCTCCCGTACGGGCCCTCTCTGTCCCCGGATCCCGGCATCTAGGCTGAGGGTGGCAGCAGAGGGTCCCCGGCATCTAGTTCTCTGTTCTCACTGCCATACGTTACCTGCTTCGCCAGGGCCATGGGCACCGTCTTGCCCAGCTCGTTCAAACAGCGGTTAATCCGGTCCCTCCGCCGCTTTTCTATCACTTTGTGGGAAACGCGGGTTCTCTGGGAACAGAAGTTTGTGAATTTCCGATGGCTTTACCCAGGGAGTGGAAATCCCCATGGAAACCCCCCTGCCCACTGGCTTCCTAGCTCCCCGTGCTGCCCAGGGGCTCTCGCCCGGAACGGGCCCGTTCCTCTCCACACGTGGATAAAACGAGCTCTGCCCTCCTTCGCCGTGTTGGCGCGCTCCCGTCCGGTCTCCCTACTCGCTGGGCTACACCCGAGCTGAGGGCCAAGGCTGTGGGGAGGTGGCCACTAGGCCTGGGCTGGTCGCGGATTCAGGAGTCTCCTCCCTCCATCCTCCTCCCCTTCCCAAACCACTCAGCTGCTTTACAGGAGAAGTCACGCGTGGTCACGTCCCTGCCCTCGGCCCAGCCAGGTGGCCCCTGGGGGGTCAGTGCCCCACCATCAGAGCGCAAGAGCCGTCCAGCCCCAGCAACTCACTCTGCGTTCCTTGAGCTTGTCTGACATCCTGGTGAGAGCGCGTCCTGGAGAGGCGGGGGCGCGGCGCCGTCCACCGTCCGCTCTCCGCCCCGTGCGCCCCTTTCAGGGTCCCAGGTAGACTGCCGCCCCCCAGCGCCGAGGGGCTGCCTTATAAAGCGGTCACCCAGGGCTCCAAGTGCATTCACGAGTTGAATTATTCCATAGGATTAGGGAGCTGCGTTTGAGGGATGTATGCATTCAAGATCAGTTTTAAAGAAGTTAAGGAAAAAAAATTTAGCAGCCGAGGGGGGCGAGCTGGGGGTAGATGAGCTTTGTTAATCCACGTGGCCCTTCAAAGGACACGTGATTGGCGGGGAATAACATTTGCATGGCAACAGCCCGGGCAGGAAAAGGAGGCGGTAGCTGGGGCCGGTGTCGAGCGAGGGAGCGCCCATAGCCACAGGCGCAGAGCGCAGGGGCGCAGCGGCCACGGGCACCAGGGGGTGAGGACCCTCACAAAACAGTGTCGCCTCCTTTAGTCCCACCACCGAGTCTCACACGATTGCCTGTTTACAAATCCCAGCAAGGGCGCAGTCCCAGCGCCCAGTGCGCTTTAAAGCCTGTCCAGAGCCATTAAAGTAATTAAGTAAGCCTTTAATAGGCTGTTCCGCTGGGTTCAAGGGAGAGCCCTTGGAGACGGAGGCGCCCCGTTTGTTCCCAGGCTTTTCTCACACGACTTGGTGACACGTCCATCTCCCCCTTTTTGTCGACGCCGCTTCATTTGTCCGGACATCCCGGCAGGTGTGGGCTGCGGCTGGCACACGAGGCTCCCGCGCTGCGCCACCCCTCCCGCCCGCCTTTGGCACGCGACGCTCCCCCTTCTCCCTGACCACGTCGCTCGCTTTCTTTTCTGTGTGTGGTGGGAGGGGGGTGGTGGGAGGATTGGGGGGCAACACAGAGAAGAGTGGGCCGAGAAGAAAAGGGGGCATGCAGCTGGCCCAGGCGAGCATTATGCAACGTCACCTGCGAGAGGGGGCGCCTGCAGACCCCTATTCATTTGCCTAATTTTGGTCAATTTAACAAACTTCAGGAGAAATTATTGTGGCTTTGTCAGGGAGGGTGAAGCCTTCTGATCGAATTAACAGCATGTTTTGATCCGGTAAATGTCATTAGAAAGGGAGAAACAATCGCGCTTAGAGGGCTCTGAGTAATGCGCCTAAGTGGAGACGCCAAAGCGCACAGCTCACAAAGGGAGCAAGTAGCTGCCACAGGGAACTTTTGTACCCGCCCATCGCCCAAGTTTTGACACAAAAAGGCATTATTTCATACTTGAATACATTTAATCCAACGATTGTCTATTTTCTGCAAACATATTTTCACAGCATTGTTAACTTTTTATGTCCCCCTTTCGAGGACGCCTTTTCTTAACGTTTGAGGGCCGGAGAGCGCAGACACTTTGGGCATCAATATTTGTCACTGAAAAGGGCTCCGTGAAGTTAGGGAAGTTGATCTCTTTTTTATGGTTTTAGAGAGCGAATATATGGGGGGGGTGGGGGAGGGAGGGAAGGCACCAACAGAAACCAGGGAGGACGTTTGCTGGACGGGCCCACGGGGAAAGAAGGGGAGGGATCTCCGCTGGCTGCGCCTCTCCACAACCTGGACCATCCGCCAGCGGGGCTCCTCCTGCACCAGCAGGGCTCGCTCGCAGTCTGCTGCTTTGGAGTTGTACTCTGGGGGCTCCAAGCTTTCAGTGTGTGTGTGGGGGGGGGAGAGGGGAGCGTGTAGGGGGAGCCTTCTTACAGATGGAAACTATGAAAATGGCTTTTGTTTCATGACCTGACTTGGAGCCTCTTCCTAATCGGTTCCATTTGAGAAACCAGATGTCCCCTGAGACATTTTCCCCTCCTTTCTGCTCTCCACCTCCCCTTCAATTCTTTCTACTCTGCTGACGATGGCAAGGCCCCAGGCTCTCTCCTTGAGCCTGGTTAGTTCTTCGCAGCGGCGGCTGGGGGGGAGCCCTGCTCTCCCGTGGGAACTAGGGAGCTCCTAGGGCGCAGAGGCCATGCTGTGCTGTGTGGGGCACTGGGACAGCCAGCAGCCTACCTGCCTCCCGCCTGGGAGGTGCTGAGCTCAGTCTGCACCCCTAGGTGCCCTCTCCATCTGGCTTTCTGTCTTCTCAAGAAGTTTCTGTTCTACTTCATGCCAGACTGGACACAGCCTGCACCCTCCCGCAGGTTGCTCTGCCAGCGGGGGTGCCCTCTCAGGGGTTGTCAATTTCAGTATATTCACTCGCACACAAAGGGATTAAACTCGAACCCTTATCATCCAAATTAACTAACGTGAATGGGTAAAAGGGAGCGCGCACACTTCTCACCCCCGCCCCCTTTAAGCCATCGGACTAGCGTTGATCCTCTTACTGCTGGTGTTAACCACCAGCTGCAGGCACCTTTCATGGCCACATTTCATTCTGTGCAAACTGTTTAATTTCCCGTGTTTGCTGGGGAGCTGGGCTCCAGGGCTAGCCCAGGGCTGCAAGTACCCGAGTGTGTTTAGGGGCCCAAGTGAGCAGAAGGCGAATGAGCGGGCGGAGATGGGTCGGAGAGGTGCGCGCCCTCTTGATGTCCTCTTGGGGCTGCAGCTCTTGGGGGAGGAAGGCCTCCTCTTCCCGGTCAGGTGAGGGAAAGGGGGTTCCCTTTCTCCCTTACCAGCCTGAAGGCTGGAACCAAGGGCAGTGCAGGCAGGGATCCTCCTCGCCATCTCCTCCCTCACCCTCCTCCCCGGGGTGGTGAGAGTGTCCCCATCTTAACCTGGTTTCCGCCAAAATGAGAGCAGAGCAACAAAGCGCGGTGGTCACTGGAACCAGACAGTTCAGACTTCAGCTCCACCACCTACAGGGCGAAGCTTTGGGCTGCTCCCTGAATCATGCTGTGCCTCAGTTTCCTCTTCTGTAAAATGGAGACAAGTTCTGTACCTACAGGTCACAGGTGGCCACTGGAAGGAAGTCAGCAAACATAGGCAAGGCACCTAAAACCAGGCTTTCCTACTCGACGAAAGGCGTTATTTTACATGGAAGCCTCTTCTTGTTAAGTGGCTCTAATAGACCAGTGTTTGTGGGGTTTGCAGGATTGTATGGTATTTTCATATTTTTTAAGATATATTTTTATTGATGTCACAGAGGAAAGGAGAGGGAGGGAGAGAGAGAGAAACATCAGTGATGAGAGAGAATCATTGATCGGTGCTTCCTGCACGCCCCACACTGGGGATCGAGCCCACAACCCGGGCATGTGCCCTTGGCCGGAATCGAACTTGGAACTCTTCAGTCCGCAGGCCAACGCTCTATCCACTGAGCCAAACTAGCTAGGGCTATTTTCATATTTTTATCTCATTGCTAAGAAAGCTTCACTCTCCCTGAAAAAGCCACAGTAATTTCTTAAATTGACCAAAATTGGGCAAATGAGCCCATGGACGCCCCTCCACAGGTGACCAGCTGTGCTCTCCCAGCGTGTGAGCCTGAAAAAGGCTGTAAGTGCGTAGCCTCTCCACAGCAGAGTCATTTCAAGTGATTTGAAAGATAAGCATCAAAATCAAAGCGAAACTGGGAAGGAAGACTATGTAGAAATTAGACAACGCTGATTAAATATTAGTCTGCGTTTAGACTCCTGGAGAGACATGCAGGCACATGATCATTGCATTATGGAAGGGGACAGCGCCGTGAACACCCTGTACAGAATTGGAACAAGCAGAGCTCGCAAGCCGCCTCGCTGGGGGGATCCTTTCAATCCATCCCACTTAGCACAGCCTGGATGTCCCCACCTTGGCTCTCTTGCTGTCATTCCGGGGTGGCCATTCCTACCTGGGACTTGCCCATCAGGTCGCCATCAGCTGTCCAATGCCAAATGGTGGCCTCCAGCTTTGGCCTGAGCAGTGCTTCTCAAGCTTTGAAGTGCTCAAATCAACTGGGGATCTTGTTAAATGCAGATTCTGATTCCCTGAGGTCACGTTTACACCGCTCAGCTCAGTGTGGTTGTGTTGAAGGAAGGAAAACTGGGACCAGAGCCTCTAGGATTGTTTAGGCATCAGTGCTGGAGCTAATTCTATAGCAGTCTCTCACATGACCTCATTGGATCATAGTTCAACATTTACTTTTGGACTTTTAAATGAACTAGGGGAGCTTGGCTGGTGTGTCCAGTGGTTGAGCATCGACCTATGAATGAGGAGATCATGGTTTGATTCCTGGGTAGGGCACATGCCTGAGTTGCAGGCTCAGTCCTCAGTGGTAGGCATGCAGGAGGCAGCCGATCAATGATTATCTCTCATCATTGATGTTCCTAACCCTCTCTCCCTCTCTGAAATTAATATATATATGAACTAGGGGAAGTGTAACTATAACCACTGAGGGAGAAAGAATACTTTTAGGGAGATTGCAGGATAGATGAAGGTATTGCTTTCCCTTTTATTTTTTATGTTAATATCACTTAGAAGTATGTTACAGATGCTGTGAATGGTGTCCATAATATGCTTTGATTATTCTAGGCCAGTGGTCGGCAAACTGTGGCTCGGCAACCCGCGGCTCGCGAGCCACATGTGGCTCTTTGGCCCCTTGAGTGTGGCTCTTCCACAAAATATCGGCTCTTCCACAAAATACCGACTTCTGCGCATGGGCCAAGAAGTTTCAATTGCATG